GGCGGGGAGCTGCCAGGTGTGTGTGTCCCCCGCAGGTGCACGCCTCCCGTCCCCCTCCCCGCGGACTGGGCGAGGGGACAGTGGTCGAGACGGGGAACTAGGGTGGTGGCTTCGTGGTCTTGAGACAGGCACAGAAGGAGCCTTTGTGGATAAGTACTTCGGCCTCTGTGCCCACGCTCCTGTTTCCAGGTTGCCCAACGTGTGGTGCCACACTTCGGGTCCCCAGCCTGAGAATCTGTCTTCACCCTCGAGCCCGCAGTACCTTGACTTTATGCAGAAATGACCTCTTACCTCGTGTGAGACTGGAGATTGAAAAGAATGTAGTTCCTCTCCCCCACGAGGAAAAGGAAGAATCCAAGAAACAGATCAGGGAGGAAAATACACACATTAGAAACAGATAGGTTTTCCAGGATAATCAGTTTCCAGAAACTGTGTGATCCTGGTGTGTTTCTTCGGGGTCTGCAGAGGTAGGAGGTGAGGAGCAAGTTGTTGTCTTTACCTTAGATGTGTTGAGAGTGTGTGGTATCACAACCGGCACCTCGTCCTTGGGGAACCGTTTCTCCTCTCCTCCCTGTAGTCACGTCACGTGGAAGTCCTGAGAGATCCGCTTTCTCCCTCACCTTTCAGAGACTGTCCTTTCCATAATAATTCTAAGCTTTTACTCTTCCCTCATACGTTGCAGATTAAATAGTCCACTCCTGTGCACTTTTAAAGGGTGATCTTTCAAAGTAGAGGGTGTAACTCCAAAATAATATAAGGCAGTAACCTTCTCCCCTCACATGCTGTAACGTACCAGTAACTTAAAGATTGCTTAGGTCATAAAATATTAAATTTGAAAGATCTTAAAAGCCTTATCTAATTCCTTACCCAGTGTTCCCGAGTTCCACCTAAAACATCAAGCCTTTACTTGAATGTTTTAAACTTGCTTAGTCACAAAGTCTACTCTACTTCTGAATAGATGTAAATGTTTAAAAACTTCATTTTCAACTTTAATCTCACCAGTCCAAGTTCTACCATCTGACATTACTTAAAGTGGCGATATTCTTTGATAAAGCAGCATTCACACACCTAAAGACATTTATGGTATCTGCTGGCTCACCAACACCTTCCCACACTCTCTCCTGACCCCCTACAGTCCTGGAGCTGGAACCAGAAAGCAACTAGTGATTTAGTCTGTAAGTCACTTCAACATTCTGGTCATCTTCTTTTGATATACACCAACTTGCCTGTGTCCTTTTAAAATCAGGGTATCTGGAAAAGAACAGTTCTTCCTGTGTGGTCTGACCAGCACATACTGCAGCACCGGCCTTGTTCCAGATGCTAGGCTTCTAGTAACACTGCCTAAGACTCTGCTCACTTTCTCGCTGGTCTGGTGCCAGGGCCCAGGCAGCAGCCTTCTTACCAGAACTCTGATCATAGCTCTTAGGAAGTGGGGTTTCTAGAAGCAAAGAACGATTGTCTGAGCTGAGCTGAGAGAAGTCGGGATGTAAATGTCATAGCCTTTCTCAGCTTTTAACTGTGGGTACTTGAGTATAGGATGGTTCTGACCCTTGCATTGGAGAATAGTACCAAAAGTAAAATAAAACTCTGAAGCCTACTAAGTTCTATTCTACAGTGAAACTCTCAGGTGACCTAGCCTGTTCTATTGGTATTAGTTTAATGTCAGATATTATGTAATGGTATCATCAGATGGAGGATTCCCACCAATGTTTGAAAAGTGGAAGTTAACTCATGTGTTTAGCTTATCCAAGTTAAAAAAATAGGACTTTGGCCCCCCCCATACTGTGGACTTTACCCAACATTGAAACTCTATCCACTTCCGATTCACCACCACCCGGCACCTTCATACCTGTCTCATTGAACCTTGGATGTTCTGCCTGTCACACAGTGCCTCAGTCTAACGTGAACAGGACCTTGTGTACCGCACCGGGCTTGTGTCAGCCCAGCAACCGTTTAACACCCCCCGCAATCTTCCCTTATAAATTGGTGTTAGTCATGTCTTTCCATACTAAAATTATATGGCTGTTTTTTAAAATTCTAATTTCATATTTATCCCTATTAATGTTACCCACTTCATTCCAACCTGTCTAGTTTTGATTCTGTCATCTTGTGCATTATTTATTACTTCTAGTCTGTGCCATGTGAAATTTGATAAGCATGCCTTCTGTCTCCTCTAAGCAGTTATCAGGAAGTGTTAGAATGTGTATATTTGTGAAAAGAATAACAAAAACACCAAATCCAGTAAATTATAGTTTACATACTGTCATGCTTCAGCAGTGTAGGACTACTGTACTTAGGAAAATGGATTTATTGAACTTAATACATTTGTTTGTTTTTCCCATGAATATTTATTGAAAATTCCCAAGATACACACCATGTCATGTACTTCAGAGTCATACAAAAAGCAGAAAAACATGATCTTTGACCTTGAAGTGCTCACAATTTCACTAGATAAGCAAGACATGGAGAATTACAGCTTTAATAAGTGCACAAAAAGGTACAGATAACAAAGTGTTACAGGAAGCTGAAAGCTATCACTGTGACTGATGAAAGGTGAAGAAAGCTGCTTGAAGGTGACTGGACTTGGCTTGGATCTTGAATAATTCCTAGGATGTGAATAATTGAAGGAGAGAAGAAAAAAATCTAGGAAAACGTATGTGCAAAAGCTGGAGGCATGTTCAAGGGACAATAGGTAGACCGGCTCAATTTGCTCTCCTCTAGCTGCTATGACAACAACAACAACAAAATTATGCACGATGCATGATGTCCATTCAAAGTTTTATACAGATGTTCCTGATTGATTCTCAGCTTTTCTCCAAACAGTATCCAAGGACCCATCCTTCTGTTTTGTGGCTCCAACTCTTCAACAAAAGGCCTCCTGGTTCACCATGCTCACCTTTACTGTGCTGAAGGAAGGGGAAAGAACACACAACACCACGTATGAAGGGTGTATGGGCCAATCTTGGAAGGGATGTGTGTCATTTCTGCTCACATTCCTCTGGCTAACTTTCATCCACAACTACAATAACCATGACAAGAGGTTGGAAAATATGGTCTGCTGTAGGGCCAGAAAAAAGAGAAAGCAAGAGGTTGGGAAAACAGCTGGATACTTTCTGCCCCAGGGCACAGTGGGGAAAAATGAGAAACAAAGGTTATAAATTGGGCTGAGCTTTCATCACACGAGCAGCAGAGAGATGCACCTGTAGAAGTCGGAAGCATAGGTCGTGAGTCAGACTGTGCGCATGGCTGCTTGTTGTATGATCTTGGATGTTACTTAAAAGTATTTGGCCTTAGTTTGATACCCATCTGTAATATGGGAAATTATAAAGCATTATGATAGGGTTATTTGGGAGGTGATATTGCAAAAGGCTTAGAAAAGTGTTTAGAGGAGTGCGTGGTACCTAGTAGGTGCTCAGTAAGTGTTATCTATTAGCAGGGTTTGAACTGAAGACTTTCAACATGATTTCTTACCAAAGGCCAAGCTGTACATCTATATCCACTCAATTATCAGTGGTCACACAGGTGTCTTAATGCTTCCCAACTAATGTCTCCCTTAGGCTAAAACTACAAATGTTGCCCACAAGTGTAATCATAGATCCGAAACATATTTATTGAATCCATGCTACATGCCAGGGACTGTACTATGCACTGGAGATACAGTCGTGGAGTAACAATGTAAGGCTTGTTGTCCATTGGCTCCTTTTGGTAGTCCAGATAACTCAAGGCCTTTATAACCAAGGCCCTATTTAAATTCCCTCTGTGTGACATAACTGGAGTTGTTTTTATTCTTCTGACTGAATACTGATGAATACAGAAGCAGTTTTTCTTTTCTATTGATAATATTGCTGGTACCTTCATTTGAAGTCAATTAAGATGGCCAAGTATCTCAGGATTTAAACAGATGCTCCTGCCTTACATCACTTTAAGCAGATAAAAGATTTACTTTCGTTGGGAATGGGTGTTTGAAGACAGGGGTGGAAATTCTAAGAAAGAAGGAGATTGAGATTCAGTGGGATTCTTGCCCACCACAAGTGCTAGAAATACTAATCTAGTAAGTACCACAAATCTGCAATCAAACACTAAATCCTGCAAGTTTCAACATAAGAATCATTACAGAAAGGCTTACTATGGAAGAAACCCCTTGCTGAAGATTTCCTTTCATATCTGAAGGAGTGAATGATGTTTGATCAGTGAGCAGGAAGTGAGGCTTAAATCAAGAAATGGTTCCAGTAACCAAGACTCGATTTCCAAAACTCCAGACATATTACCTCCAATCTTAGTTTCTTCAACTTTCATCTGGGATTTTGTTCATTCAACAGATATTTACTAGGTAGATACCATGTGTATTGTGGAAAAATACTGTACATAAAAGCAATGAATGAGGCCTGAGGTTAGGCAGACAAAGCTGAATTTGATTTGGGGCCTGCTGCATTAACTACGTAACCTTGGGGTGCTCAAGGTTCATGTTCTACCATTTTGCGTCCTGCTGTAAGCCCCAGAGGACTGACCTTCATGAACTGCATCTCTGGAATCCCATTTCTGTCAAGTTTGGCAATAGGATGCACTTATAAAGGAGATTGGAGGTTAGAGGACAAAGAGGTTGATGTACTTAGTTCTCTGGCTCCTTTCTTGTTTTCTCATGGTTTCAGCAACACCAGCTGCATCCTTCCATAACTATAGCTTCGCTGATGGCTGCACTTTGTGGTACTACCTCTTGCAGGGTTCTGAGGATGCTGTTTCCTCCCATCATCCCCATCTGAGGGTGATAATGGCTACACATGTTTCCTAGTCTTTGGGTGCCTCAGTGCTCCTTGTTGGTTCTCTGTGCCCTGCCTATGCCTGCAAAACATTCCTTTCATTAAACATTCTTTCTAAATTCTGAGCTAAGTGTGCCATTTGCTTTTTACCAGGTTCTTGCTTAGGTGAGACACTTGAATTTATGTGTAAAGTGGAAGATATAATACTTTGTTCTCAGAGTTGTTGTGAGACTAAAATATGACAGCATTTTCAGAGAGCCTTAGCATTGCTCCTGGAAGCATTTGAAAATGATACCCACCAATATTAATAGCTATTGTGCTCTTGTGCCAAGCACTATGAGGAATGCCAAAGAATCCATCTACCTATGTGTAAAAATGCCCATTTCTGCATTCAAAATACTCATCTCCTTCAAATGAGGTGACACATTCAGTGCCAACCACAGTGGTAGGCCCACTGTAAAAGCTCAATAAATGCTGATAGCCCTTAAAGCTCAGTCTTTGCTACTCCTCATATCCTTCCCCATGAGCAACAGATCTCCTCTAAGTTTCTGTAGCTCTTTCTATTTTCTTCTCCTCTGCTTATCACTTTCTCTGAGCACAGTGCAATAACCCATTGGCACTAGAGTCATCTGCATCATTACAATTGCATTTGGGGCTAATGAGATAGTCAAAGTATCCTGGAAAGTACAAAGTACTGCACAAATGTGTTGAATTTTAATATGTTTGGGATGAGCCACGGGTATACATGGAGATGAACACAGCCCTCATCTTTCGTAACAACTCTATTTAGTTTCTCAGGGCTTTTTGTGACATTATCTTTCCAGAAATATTTTTAGTGATTATTTCATACTTAAATGTCTATTTGGAGGGGA